GCTAAAATCAGCCCACCAATTAAATACCCAAATAGGCATGTCTTGCTTGCATCAATTCTCCTATGGTTGAGAAATCTCATCCCTTGATGAGATGACTTTAGAGTTTTCCTGACGAGACGAAGGCGCCACATCCAATTCTTGTATTAAGGCCGCATATTTTCTCTGAATCATTTCTCTTTCTTCCTTAAACTGGGCTTGCAGAAGTTTCTTCCTCTTATCGTATTTTTTCATACACAAGTACATTTAATATTGAATTTTATACAACTTGTTCTGTATGGGATTGGTGGAACTTCCTTGCGGCGGGATCCATCGGCTTTTAGGAATAGCTTCTTCAAGATTATTTGGCTTACGTTCTCCAACTTCAAACTCAATTACATCATGATTTTTCATTTTTTCTTTAATACTTAAAAAAAAGGAAGACCCAACAAAAACCTAGACTCTGATACCAATTTGATGTAGACAAGATAAATTGCCTACAAATACAAAATTTGCAAGTCTTCCAAAATTGACCTACTTCAAACCAAATATACTGAAAAAAATGACTAATCGGACGACTTAACAACAAAATTACTAATTATAGATGATATGATAACAAAGACACGTTAAAAGACACTTAAACACAATACATTGATAATAATATAAGTTGAGAAGAAAGATACAATGGAGTGGTAACCTGGAGAGGAGAAGGTTAGAAGACCGCGATGAGGTTATAGAAGAAGGAGAAGAAGAAGCGGCATAGCTTGCAAGCTATCCAGAAAACTCTCAGGTTTTACATTTTCCAAATATTGTTCACACATCACATATTCTAAAATAACCCAAAACAATCCTTTATATAGGAGGAAAGAAGAAGCCCAAAAGCCCACAAAATAGCCCTCATAAATTAAAGAAAAGAAGCCCAAGAGTCACCCAATCGGCCCTATTAAAATGGAGAAGAGGAGTCCCAAAAATCACCATAAATTAGGAATTCCAAATGCCAATTCAACCGCCCACTCAAGCCAACCAGAAAAGAGAAGAAAAATGCAGCATTTAGTTTACATTGGGAGCCCAAGCATCCAACTTTATATACATACAGGAATCGAACAGCAGCCAGGGACCCGAACAGGCAGAACCAGGGAGCCGAACAACCAGCAAGAGGAATGGGACAACCAAGCAGGGAAATTGGGAAAGTACGAGCAGGAGCCAAATAGCCACATCAAAGGGAGCAGGAACCGAGCAACCACAACAAAGGGATCAGGATCCGAACAGCCACCAAGCAGCCAGTAAATCAACTGGCTCTTCCCATTTTGCTTGCATCAATAACTCTCCACTAAACCCACTTTAACCCCTTTAATATATTGTTCTCATGTTTAATAAACCCATCTCAACCCCTTTCTTCTTTTTTATCTCTCTTATTTCTCCTTCAATAATCCTCCACAAGGCCAACTTAATATCCATGTAATTAACAAACCTCCATCTTATCTCCTAAATATCTCATCTAATTTCCTCCAACAAAATTTCAAATTTTAAATCAATTATATCTTTTCCTGCCCATCTTTTCTAACTCTCCAAAAAAAAAAAAAAAAATTACAGACAACGTAAAAGAAAGAAATAAAGCAAAAAAAAATCAACTAGATTCTACAAGCAATTATGAATCTCCATTAATGCAATCCACCTTCATCTAATAAGTGTTAGTCATATTTATCTCAAGATGTTTAAATCATCTTATTCAAATGTTGTTTTTCCATTTTTCGAGAGTAGTTCATATGTCAATTTATCTGCGACTTCCAAATGAGCTTGTTGGTGTTTCTTCAAGATCACAATCCTTGGAAGTTTCATTCGTTGTTTTGTGATCCATAACTAATGGAGCATGATGTTTACTTTCTTTGTATCATGACTACTATTCTTTGGTTAGTGTTTTGTAATAAGTTGAATTGACATGGTTGTAAATTTTGAATTTTATTTTGCTATGGATATTTTGAATTATTTTTTGCCTTTTGGGTATTGCTTGGTATGGAGCTGTGAAGCTACTGCTGGATAATTTGTGAAAATTGTTAGACTTGTTGATTATATTTGGTGTGGGATGCATTTACTCTGCTGTGCATAACTCAAAAATTGATTTTACATGTTTGCTTGAAGTATTTTTATGTGCTATATGAGGTCGAAAGGTCAACATGACAACAACCATTCCAAGAAAATTATTATAAATGATCTAGAAAATCAAACTAAAAAATTGAACATCATATCAATGCTTTGGGTCTTCTTTTTTTGCATATCATTTAGTGAAGTTTTTTTATAAAAAAAAATATGAAATAGGTCAATGTATATCTTCCTCATATAGTCTCAAATCCCATAGATGATTTCTTTCCTTTGGTAAGTCCTTAAACATAGCCCACATACAACACAAGCCCATATGGTCAACTGTCAACTACTTGTGAGAGAATTTCAACAATGGCATGTGAGATTTTTATTCTTGTGCGGAGAGGTTCATTTGAGACCAGAAACGATTTCATGGGGAGAGGGTTGCGGATGCAAGGCATGCCAACAGGAAAAACAAATCATGGCGTCCTAGAGAAATGGGAGTAGAGGAGAATCATAGAGATCGCCAGAGGGAGAGTTGTTGAAGGCTTTTGCATGGGGTGAGGGTCGTGCAAGTGAGCTGAGGAGTTGATTGGTTGCGAGTATGGAAAGCTAAGGTAAAGGAGCTAAGGCTGTCAATATTCATACGCTTAGGCAATAATACAGAAACTTTGAGGATGTTGTGGACATTTAGTGTTTATGAAATGTTGCGTAGTAGGCTTCGTTTGGTACGGCTTTCTTTCTGCTTCTTAAAGTAAATTTTTAGTATAAAATTTTAATTTTTGCATTAAAAGCTGCTTTAAGAAGCAGCAAAAAAGCCGTCCCAAACGAAGCTTTAGTTTTTGTGAAAGGAGAAGTTGTATGAGATTTGCCCGTCTTGGTGCCGCATTTGCATGTCCAGCTTTCTGTGCCTCTGCTTCTTTGAATGGAGGATATGCTGCAAGCTCGCTTTTGTGATTTTGTGAGGGAGCTTTCTCCTCTCCCCTTTCTTGCCTCGGAGTACATCGGATTGCTCTCCCAAGCTTTAAAGCCCCCTCTGCAATCTACAATATTTGTTCCCTTTTCAGGAGATCATCCCCTATTGAAACTGCATTCATTTTTTTTATTAAACTGAATGAAATTTGATTACTTCCAGTTAGGTTTCCAGATTAGCAAAATTGAAATCAATCTTCCTTGCAATTCAGTGAATCAAGTGAATGCATACCCATGTATGCTTGTATACATCATCTAGCTCGCCAATATTGTTATTGTTTTTCTTATAATAATACAACTAACATAATTATCTTGTAAGGAAAGCTGTTAGAAGCTTTACTGGCAGTGTATGCTGAACTTGAATGTTATGATTTGCACATTTTCAACTTTTGTCTTCAAGATCAACTCAAGCAGTGCCTCAGCCAAAGTCTAATATCCAAATCGATCAATCCAGAAACTCCTCAGTTTATTCTTCACTGTGTACTTTGTTTTTTTTTTGGTGACGTGCATGACAGACATACTTTTCTTCTTCACTGTGTACTTTTCTTTCTTTTTTTTGTGATGCGCATCACATACAAGTAATTTTCTTTTAATTTCATTGTCTGTCAGTACATATTGAAATATTTCGGGGTCCAGCACTCCAAGAGTTATTTCTCTTTTCTTCACGTAGCATATTTGTCCATCAGTTCTCGCCTTCTCACACTCAAATTATTTTATTTGAACTGTACAGTTTCATTGAAAGCTTATATGTTGTGAATCTAATTGGATAAAAAAGGTCACGCCTACTCTTCTCGTCTTCAAAGAAATTTTTTTGGGATTAACAAATATTGAGAATTGCCTAGGATTGTATGCTCAACATGAATTACCGATAATGCCTATATTTTATACATCCACGGTTCATTCTGAAGAAAGTTTTTGATGGACTAATATCGATATCATTCAAGAAAATGCTACAGATGATATGATTGAAGATATTGGGTCGCATTTTAATGAAGCTCGCCAAAATAAATATGACATTGACTGATGTTGTTCTTAGTAGAATATTTAGGCATGCCTCCACGCTTGAGTCTATTATAGTATAAATCAAGCTCTTTAAGTGTCCATCAATTAAGATTATATCTTGCGACCATATTTTTAATTTAAATACATAAGGCAGATCTGTTTGAGAAATTGCAGTTGAATGGATGGCCACCATATTTATTTAATCTACTTGGAAGTTTGACCTTCAGGTCAAAGGTCATTGTGGCAAGGGATTTTTTCGTGCAGATGCTGAATATGTCCGGAGGCGAATGAGAAAGCACCACATCATGCAATGTAATATGCATTGGGTGATGCGGCACCTCCTCATTTGCCTCCATACGCGTTTGGCGTTGGCATGTAATAATTCTTCCATTGTGGGAGGGGGAGTGATTCTGTGGATCTAATTGAGTTAAGTTAGTTCGGGAGGGTTAGTGAGTGGATTTGCCTTTTATGCAGTAAATACCCCCATATTTAGGGAGGATTATGTTATTTTTATATTGAGAGTGCTGAGCAACATGAAATGCTTTATTAGTATCTTGGATCCTAAGGTTATAAATGACCAAATTGATTTTCATAAGGCTAGCAACGAAGTTTTTGTTTGATGGTTCCCTAGAAAATTTCGGCAACATCTGATTAAGGCTTCGTTTGTGATGACTTTCTTGTTGCTTCTTAAATCAGTTTTTTAGTATAAAAATTTTAATTTTTTACTAAAAAGCTGCTTTAAGAAGCAATAAAAAATTCGTCCCAAACAAAACCTAAATTGCTTGAGTGATTAAAAATGTATTTGCTAATGATCATTGAGTTCCATTCCAGCTTTGAACCTAAGAATCCTACAGACAAACTCTGTCTTAGTACATTCTGCAGGCTTTAGACGACTTCTGAGTGACGCTGCCAATTCCTTTTCATCACTGCAGAATTTGATTCTTTTTTCACAATTTTGCTTCTGCTATTAGGATACAATGCCGGTCTGGTATGTGCACAACACCTATACAGGTGACGGCATCGCAGTTAGTCGCAAATCAAGTATTTCCACAACCTGTTGTGAAGGCTCTCCTCTACCCCGGTGCAATACTAAATGGCATTTATACCAACTTGACATTTCCAAGCTGGGACAATCTGCTCCAAATATACAACCTCACTAATATTAATAATGCTTCTGCAGTAGTTGATCTTCAGCGCCTCGAGGTTCTTCTTCTTCGCAGCCCGAAACCTGTGAATTAATTTTTCATCAGTCTCAGGCTTCATTTGGAACAACTTTCTTTCTGCTTCTTAAAGCATAATTTTTATACTAAAAAGCAGCTTTAAGAAGCAAAAAGAAAGTCGTCCCAAACGAAGCCTCATTCAGTCAAGTCACTAACTTGGTGTGAAAGCTCAGGTTCTTGCAGGAAGCTACTTCGCGGTCGCCGGCGGTATAATAGGAATCTTGAATCCTGGGAGAATGAGCATGTTTGGTACTCTTCTAGTGGTTTGGGGCTTGGTGAAGGAAGGAATACTAGGAAAACCAGTTGCCACTGATCCAGAAAAGGCAGTTTATGTGTACCCAACAATGGTGATTGCACTCATATGTGCTGTATGTTCGGTGAAGTCTAATCCCAGGAAAGCTAGCAGAACTAGTAATGCTCAACCCACTGCGAAGCCTCTGAAGAGCTCAACAAAATCGAAGTTGAATTAAAAGGAGCTTCTGAGATGGTTTTAGTTTTATTACTGTATTTTAACTTTTCAATCTGTATGGATTCTTATGAGGTTTTACTGGAGTTTTCTTTTTGTGAGGCAGTGAAACTCTGGTCATGTTTATTATCCATTTGCAGTGCAAAGCTTGTAATGTGAAGGCTGTTATTGAATGGGGGATTTACATGCATAACATTATTATTATTATTTTTTAATTTGTATATTTAGTAATTTTTTTAACTTTATTTTTAATTTAGTACTAATCATGTCTCACAAAACTTTAAGGGCAATAATAAAAATATTGCTCAATTTTCATCTTTTGTTAGGGAGAATGATGCCCAAAGGTTTGGGATTTGTTCAGGATAATTTTCTTATTATTTTGTAAAACTATTTTTTATATAAAAGATTAGTGAGTTAAAAATTTCTTTATGAAAAAATTGACTTAGAAAACAGTAACAAAGTTATCCTAAATTTTGGAGCTTGCGTTGGATTAATTATTTTGTGCGGACACCATATGCTGTGCGGAGGTAAATCAGAGTACATCATGTCATCTTATTGCTGTGTATCATAGTTGTGTACCTTCTGTGCATCGGCTGAACTTGTGCGTTTTGATTCGTCTCCGGATATAGAGCTATGTCCGGTGTCCGTTATAGAAATAATTTCTCCTTGCAATGTGAGCATTTGGCCAGAAGATGTTCGGTGGGTTGGGTGGGGGGGGAAGCAAATGGATTAGTATGAACTTGCATTCAACAACAATACTCGACCTCGGTTGGTGGTTTGCAAGTAGGTTGAGCCTCGAGTTCAGCTTTTCTTTTTGTATTGGTTAGCTCGAATTCGATTTTTGGCTTGAGGTTGTTGGAGAAGTGTCACGAGGAACGTGTTGGGAGTTCCTTGGAGAAGATATCCACTGCAATTATAATAAAATTGATGGAAATCATACTCGAGAGAGAGTTTGTAGACATGAAATTGTGCATGAATTGAAGTATAGTATGATAGTTGCATTTCCAGCCAAAATCCATTGATTTAGAATTCGAATTCATGCTCTAAACTTATAAAATTTTAAAACAATTAAATTACAAAACAAATCAAATAATCCTAAATATTTATAAAAAATCATTTTGATTTTATGCATTTAAGGTATACGCAAAGGGGAATGTACCTTTATCTAAAACATAATGAATTCTATTTAATCAAATAAAATGAAAAATATTTATTTTAGTTAATCAATATTTATTTAGTTAAAAATTAATTATTTTTATAATATATTTATTCATTATACGAAAATCATAATAAACAAAATCATATATTAATAAATTTTATATTACATGCCATATATAAATTCTTATATTTATTTATTAATAATCAATCTAAATTATATTAAAAATACTATTAATATTAATGTATATAATCTCTTTATTTAAAATTTTCATTAATTATTTAAGTGGTATTTAATTAGTTTAATGATATATATATGATAAATTATATTAAATTTTAATTACTAGCCATACACAATTATTTAATTAAACTTGTTAAAAATTATTTATTATACTATTAATTACTTAACTTCCATATTTAATTAACTTATTTATTAATATTAAATATATAATTAATAAAATGCCTAATTTATTTTAGATTGTAATAAGATTTAAGTTGACAGACCATATAGCCTTTAGGAACGTAATTAATTTACTACTTTGAAGTATAAGTTAAACTACCTAGTTATTCTATTTTAATAACAATCAATCAATAATTATAATTAAAAAATATAATTGAAAATAGTTAAATAATTTCAATACTTATTAATTTCAGTTTAATTATATTTTAATATTAATTATTAAGTTTTATACCATCTCAATAATTAACAATTATAAACACAAAATTAACATTCTATGTGCTTAGAGTTTGTTCCTCTTCTCCAGACTTGTTGTTCCTGTTCACTTCGCATGCTCGAACGGTGAATGTAAAGTTTAACCATGAACAAAGCTCTCGATAAAAGACTTCTTCGCTATTGCTGTCCTTCCTTACGTCAGGAACCATCACGATAACCCTCCGCAACTTACTTTTGATTTATCAAGTCCAGCTAACGACGACAGCAGGGCGCAAAGCTCGCTCTTTGCAAAAGTAACCATTTCTTCCCGTCGCGTGCTTCTCGACAAAATCCCATAATCCGCCCGAATCCCCTTAATCGGACGATTTACGCAAAGTACACCAGTCACGTTTAATACCATCCGCCGTAAAAGCGAGATCGGAAACGATTATTGGACCTAAGAGATCGAAATTTTGAAATATGCAGGCATTTACCCTAAGGCGAGCGTTTTGGACAGCAATTTTAGGATTCATTTAATAGGATTCACCGAAAATCCTACCAAACTCCGGATTACGAAATCCGAGGGTAAATCCTAAAGGAAAATTTAAGATTCATTGATAAACCATTAAATCCTCTCTCGCTACTGTTTGGCCTAGAATCATTTTAAATTATAAAGACGGTTAAAAAACTGACATACTTTATACAAAATAATTAAATAGTTAAGACTTACCAATTTCAATCGATTATCAACGATTATTAGTTCAAAATTACTTATTAATTTTATTACACTATTAATTACCCCATACCTACTACTATTTTAGTAACTATATTTTTTAAGTTATATTAATTAAAGCTAAATGATATTTATATATTAAAAATATATCATTAATTTTTACTAATTAAAAATAGATAACATTTATGAACTCCATCTATACTATTTAATGTACTCAATTTTATTATTTAAATTATATTAATTAAGTTAAGCAGTAATAACAATCCAGCGGCGTATCGAGTTTGCCTTTCATCTTCTCTTTGGCTTCGTTGCTTCGCAGGAGGTTGTAAGATTTTCACGGCGTGTTCTTCGGCTCCTATCGTCCTTCGTGGCTTGCTCGACTTCGCTCCTTCGTCGATTTTCCTTCCTATCGGATCGGAAGTTACGACATTTTGATTCGGATTCAACAACGGGAGCTCGCTTGCTGTGAAGGTAACTTTCTCCCTTTCGCGCGCTTCTTTGGCCAAATCCCCTAAATCCGCCGAAACAAAGGAATTTCGGAAATCCGGGAATTTAGAGCGAATCGGACGGATTTTCCGCCGTCCACGGAGGATTTCGTTTTGCCGTGAGAATTTGGATTTGATTTTAGGCCGTTTGGCTGATTTTGCCCAAATCCGGCCTTAAATCCGCCTAAATCCGCCATACCAAACAGCCACCTAACTATTTGGATAGATATTCTCAGCGCATCATATATTCAAAGATTAGCGATTAATAAATTTCCAAATCCGGATTTACGAAATTCTAAGGGGTTAAATCTTGAAAACTGTTTGGTAACATTCATGATAAATTTAGTTAAATCTTATGTGACTGTTTGGCTGTTCAATTCAGGATTTAAGGCGGTTAAAAGAGTTGACATATATTATTAGAACAATTAAAGTACGACAAAGAAGTTTAAATAAAATATAACAAAATTTATTAATACTAATTAATTATTTAATTATTATTTATAATATTTTATAATAATTTTTTTATTTAAGATCATGTTTAATCTTATTAATTATTTTGAAATAACTAAGTATTTAACTAAGACTGAAATGAAACGCTCCGCTCCTTTGAGAAGCAAACGATCTATCCAAATCCAAAATTCGAAATATTTTTCTAGTAAAACAGTTGTCCTTTCAAGACAGAGGTGTATACATGTAATTAGAAGTTCATCATGTTCGTAGATTAATCTTTGCTTTGAATATCTTTGTTCAAACTTCTGGTGCTGGCTCCGGAGGTATTAATAATTTTATCAATTATTTAATTATTTTCATTTAATTATTAATATTTTAAATTATATTAATTAAAATATCCAACAATTAGAAGTAGGTTTTACTTTCTCTTCCTCTCTTTCGTTCGTTCGGCTTTGTTCCTTCGCACGAGTGTAAATTTTTCACGAGTTCTTCATCCTCGCCGTTCGACTTTGCTCCTTCGACGATATTACCTTCCTGTTCTGTTGGATCGGAAGTTACGACATTTTTTTTGATCTGAAGCAACAACGGGAGCTCGCTTGCTGTGAAGGTAACTTTCCCCTTTGGCGCGCTTCTTCGACCAAATCCCTTAAATCCGCCGAACCAAAGGATTTCGTAAATCCGCGGCTTTGATTTACCGTGAGATTTGATTTTGCATTTTAGGCCGTTTGGCTGGATTTCACCCAAATCCGGCCTAAATCCGCATACCAAACAGCCCCTAAGTTGCCAAATAGCCCCTTTAAGTTGCCAAGGTCCTAGGAACGATACTTCACTTTGTTGACCTTGCTTCTGAGTATACACTCATCTGCATCTTTAATTTTATTCCAGTCCCATCTTGCAGCGGATAGAAGGAAAATGACGGAGTCGGAAGTCAAAGCTACTCATACTAAGAAAAAGAAATCAAAGAAGAGGCTAAAAGCAGATTTAGATTGTTCCACTGGAGAGAAACATGTCAATACTGAAGGTATTTGGAAACTTAAATTGTAACTTACTGTTGATGAATCTATCTTTTGTTTAGGATTTCAAATTTTCTCTCTATTGAAATTGTTTTCTGTTCATGTCAGAGCCTTCGCTGCATTTGGCCGTTGCACTTTTGTCTGGCTTTTCTTAGCTTTTTAATTCTTACATTCAGCAATTTACTTTTTCAGTACTTTTTTTTACCATTTTCTTATGTGAAATGTGTCCAAGCTACCAGGTGAAATGCAAGAGTTGGATGCTGAGCTTGACATGAGTGGGCCCACCATGGCAGAAAAACTTGCAAGTCTTGAATTGCTCAGTGACAGTGGTGCAAAAAATGCTTCTGAGAAGGAATCACTTCCCTCTACAAACATTCCAAGTGTTGATTCCGTACATGTTTTGTTGAAGCAAGCAATTCATGCTCAAGATTATGCATTGCTGGTGAACTGTTTGTCCACGACTGATGAAAAGGTATCTCATTTTTAGTTATACTTAGTAAATTACTTAGGTGATTTACGTTTTCACACATCTTTGACATCAATGCAACTTCTTCCACCAAGACCACAACAATCAATGTTATGTTCACAGATGCAACTTTCAAATTCTCAGTAGGATTTTTGGTGTATTCTAAATTTGGGCAATCATTAAATGAAACCCAAAGATAGGAAGGGCTGTTTTGTGCCTTTTTTTATAACTTTATATCAGGACTTATGCAAAAATATGAGATTGAAACATTAGGCATTTTTAACATGATATGAAACATGGTGCGTCCATTGTATGCTTGCGGCTTCCATGCAACCATGACAATGTCCATGCTCTGGTTTAACCAAAAAAATTGATGCTTTCTTGCAGGTTATCACAAAGTCAACTGCACTTCTAAATCCCTCAGATATTCTCAAGTTTTTGAAATCCCTTCTATCTATGATTGAATTAAGGTAGAAAATTTTTAGTCAAACTATTTTAAATTTTGCAGTTATAGAGCTGATGTTAGCTTGTTTTTTATGTCCCAATTTATTTGTCTTTTTAATGTGCACACTGGTACACCAAATTTATAATCTAACCCTAAGCAAATGTTCATGCAATGCTAACACTTAGCACATTTTCTTCTATCTTGTTCATTGCATTTAATGTCATATCGGGACTTCAATTATGTGAATTTTTTTTCTTAAATCCATTTTATTTAAAGGTTTTATGTTGTATAAAATAAGTAGATAGGCACTTCGTGTAATATAAACCATATTACTTGTGTTGAACAAAGATTTGTCAATCACTGTAACATTAATATTGTACAACTTGCAAAAATTGCTCACCATGAAGTATTGCTTCTATGCTTTAATTTTATCATATTGACCTTTATCATTTTTTATGCTACGCATCGCAATCACTAAAATTGATTTGACTTTTATTTCTAAGCCCTATATCAATTTCATCATGGATTGTCTAATTATTTTCACTTAATCTGTTTCTATTTGAGGTTGTTTGGTTGAGAGTATTTTTAGTGTACTATATTTAAAATGCAAATATTTTAAACATTTGAGTGATTGATTGAGCGTAAATTAAATCTAAAGTAGTTCTTAAGGAAATTTGAAACCCACCCTCACAATATATCATTTTGGATGCATTTAGAATTCACTCAAATCAGGTGAATTAAGGGTAATGAACTCGTGTGAAATCTAATTCCCGTGCCTACTGATGGCCCTATTGATCTTGTCCCCAAAACCTGCGATGTTAATGCCTACCCTCGAAGCCTCCAACAATGATAACACCGACATTTAGGGTTGTCTTATCTCATTCCTATGGCATCTCACATTTGTACCATGCACTCTTGTGACTGCTCTACTAATGCTGAAATTGCTTACACCACCAACCCCATCTACCACTTCAACTTCGTCCTTGAATCTACCACTCATGTTAACTCCATCTTCCATCGATGCTAAGCCCCCAAACCTTGTTCGCCTAATGCTATGTACTAACAAAAAAAAGACCATTTACTTTACAACCATCCAAATACATTAAAGAATTTTAGATATATTGAATTTATTTACAATGCATTTAAAATAAATATGAATTCTATATACTTAGAACCAAATAACCCTTTAAGGAATTTGTATACCATTTCATGTCCAGAAGGAAGTCTTAGTGTTAATTTTACTTGGTAATTTGATGTGATAATGAATTGTATTTTATTGTTGCAATTAAGTTTTCAACCAATATTCATATTAATAAAGTTATATTTAAAAGCTTCTAGGACCACCACGTTAGGAGAATCATATTTATGAGAAAGCATTATGCCATATACATCCAAATCTTTTGTTTGTGCATCATTTTTTGAAAGATTTTTTTTAAAGACTTTGATGTAGTACTTTAGGTAATAAACATTTATTTAAAAATGATTTATAATTTATAAAGTTATAATTATTTATGACAACAATTGGAGAGAATTGGTTGAGTATTTATTACAATATGTGTATTTATAAAATTCTAGGAGACCTTCTAATAGAAAACAAACAATTAATGAAGAGTAATTACAATATTCCCTTGATGGATGATTATGTAGAATAATAATTACAAACTAATTATAATATTCCACTCATTGATGAGGTGGTGGTATTAATCACGCGGACAATTAAGGTGGAAGTAAGTGTATATGGTGGAGGATTGTTGGGCTCGACGAAACATTGATGGAGGCTGAATTAATGGAGCGAAATTTATGGAGGAATATTTGATGGACGTTGGTTTTTGAACAATTTAAGACCTTAACGTTGGATACCTAAATTGTTTCAATTGTTTCACAACTAACTTCTTTCGGATGACTTCAACATAGATTGCTCTATTAACATTGTCGTTGATGCCGCCTCTCACATTTGGTTGCACTTCTTCAGCTGTTGTATTGCCAACTTCTGACTATGGCTTTACAATTCACTCCAAAAATGACTTATGCACCATTTGCTTCTTCGATTTGACTGCAACACCACCTCTTTGATTTAGCCTTCTCCTTCGACACGATAGAATTTATCATAATTGCTCGATAACCAACATTTTCAAAATATAATAAAATTGATAGAATATTGGAGGTATGAGTATATTTATATTTAATAAATTGAAGATAAATAGAAAAGAAATCGATAGCAATAAATCTGTGGCAGGAAATGGATCCTACATTGTTTAGTGGTTTGATACTAGATAAAATGATTAAGCATCTTATGCTCTCTCAATTAAGCAAGGGAGAGATTAACTATTTCAATTCGATGGCAGTTAATTACTTGAGGCATCATCTTATAGATGGCCATGAAGCAGTGATAGTTTTCCTACCTTAGCCACAAGTTCCCACCCCAGCACTTTCTTTCCTTAGCCAAAAGTTCCCACCACCTCTACCTTTCTATCCCTCCTATCCAATGTTGAGAACCTTCACATTTGCAAATCTCCTGTGTCACTAGTCAGCCACCAAAATCATTAAAATCTAGATCAACGGAAGCACCTCCTTGTGACTCTAAGAACTCATCATGACCCTCCTTCCATACTTGAATGTCTAATCTCCCAATCTTCATCATTCATTTTGGTTGATTTGACTTTTATAGGGTTTACTCACAACAAAAGAGGAAGGGGCGGTTTTGAAAGTTGAATAGTTTGTGAAGAAAGCAAGAAAATAACGAGCAAAATAATTGAATAATTTTTTTGGGTTTTATTTTATGCTCCTGAGTTCTGAACTAAATTAAATATATATAAAAATAGTAAACATTTTTAAAGAAATGAAAATCCATTTTATAATAGAGCTCTCTTCGTTTTAGAACTTTTGAGGGAATTTTCTCTCGTTTTTGAATTAGTATTTAGTATAGAGATGTCTATGTACTCGCCTGCTAACCATAAACTTTTAGATAAAAAAGTGATCAAGGATATTCTTCATTCCTGGTGAATCTCTATGAAAAGTATCAGTGCTAAGGAGGGCCTTAAAAAGGAATATTGGGGCTTTAACCCGCAAAGGTACAGTGCTGGTGAAGATCCTGAGCTATTATGGACTAACATGACTCTACCGATGGGAAATATTTTGGTAGTAGCCCTTAACCAAGCAAAATGCCTCAAACCTGCCTATCATAGAATTTCATTTTTAGGCTGACTTGAACTTGATCCATGCCAATAATACCCCTAGTAATCACGTTTTTGAGAGTAAGTGCCAACCTAGAAGGTTAGTTTTTGGAAATTTGTGGTAGCTTAGCTCACTAGTTGAAATGTAATATAGGATATCCAGCTTGCTGAATTCCTAAACCATTTTAACATTTCATTTTAATAGCTAGTGCATTCCTTACAGTATTTACAATTGATTCTAGTAATGGTCGAGAGAGGAATACATTCATATGCAATTGAGAACTAAACCTTTTCGACAAAGTAATAAGTTTATGGCACTTTTGAAGTATTAGTTTATTCTAACAAAGCATCATTTGATTCTAATGCAATCTGTTAGATTTTAAAAACATTTCTTCTGGTATTTCATTCGGTAGTTCGTTACTGGACATCTTTTTGTTGTTTTAGAGGTACAGTTCTGGTACGTGCACTTCCATGGCTAAGAAGTCTTCTTTGTCAACATGCTAGTAGCATAGCATCACAGGAATCGTCCCTGCTTATTCTGAACTCTTTGTACCAGGTTAGCATCAACTTGGAACTCCATGGATTTGATTTCATTTGGCTTTATTCGTATTATTTCATTTTAGTTAAGATGTCCATCTAGTGTAATTTGGTGCATATTTATGCTATTTAATTCTTGTAAACTTTATGAACGCTATTAACAATATTGGATTTCCATTTACTGTACTGCTCATTTTGTTATCGAGGTAAATGATACTTGGAAGGCTTTAATATGCTTTTCCTCATAGAGCCAACATTTTCAGAAACATGCGACAGGTCAAATAGAGCAGCCAGTTTCCAGTCTGCCAACCCGTTTTCTTTTATGTTTGATCATCCGGTTTTTGTGATGCATCTACCTGCCGAAGTTGTAGATTGATTCACCATCACGGCCATCCATTTATTTCTCTCCTCTGATTGTCCCGCTGAGACTGTTGTAACTTTTGTAGCTGTCATCTTCTTTGAGGCCAGCTCGCTGTAGCTATGGGAAGATGGATTTGCTAGCCTTTATAAGCAACCTTAAAGTATCCTGATCATGTTGAGTGCCTTCTTTATTTCTTGTTACTCATGTGTTCTCTTCTTCTTTTTGTGCCTCATCCCTTAGCCGATCTCATGTAGTGAGATAAAGGTTTGATGTTGTTGTTGTTCTTTTTTACCTTATCCCCTCTTCTCTCTTTCTCTATTTCTGTCTCTTCTTTGTTTTGTACCTATATCACTCTCTATAAATTGAGGTGACATTGATTGTGGAAAGTGGAGTGTGATGGGCGAGTTGTTTTCTTTTCCTTGGTGAAGCAGGAGGGGGAGATGAAGGATAAAGTAGGGATTGCAGAAGTATGTTGCTTTAGAGGTGCAGTTTTTTGTGTCTCTCTCACACATGTTCAAATAATTCAATCTTTGAATTGCTTCATTTTTATAACACGACACAGATTTATGTTTTCTATGTGATTACTGCTTTATATAGCATAGTTTGGTGCTAAATATAGTGTTGCTTTTTACTGTAAGATTGCTTGTTATTTCATGTATGCATGAGATCAATGAATATAGTCTAAGAAGTGGCCAAAATTCTGAATTATTTCAAATTTTTGTGGCATATTTTGTGCACTATTTATATTAATCCATTTTCCATATTTTTTTACTTGGAACCCCAAACAATCTCAAGCAGAGAATAACTCAAATAATGTAAATTTGTGGCGTATCTCAAAAGGATGATTTAAAATTGTAAAATTTGAATAATTATATGGCTAACCTTTATGATGTGGATTAACAAGTTAAGAAGTGGTTGGTTGGGGGGATTTACGAGGGGCGGGCCAATATCATGAATAATGCTTGGATTACATTCACTAAGTTTCCATATGTTTATAGATTAAAAATTAGTCTTTTACTAAGAGTAAGAATTTATTAGGGAAGGTCTCATTGAGTTCGTACACTTTAATGTCAGTGATCTAATCTAATTTATATCATTATTATAGTATTATAAAGGTGAACCCAGCCCATAATTAGCCATAAGTAAATCTATTAAATTGATAACATTAGCTCCAATTATAATAGCTAACAACAAAAGAGGAATTCTATTAGTTTATTAGTTCAATGTATGAGTGCATTCATGCATACATGTGTGTACTTTTTGGCCTCATCTCAACTTATTGGCTTAATTTGATTTAGGCCTAGCTCAATTCAGCTTTGATTTGAGCCAACATTGCTAATTAGTCGGCTAGTTGATATCGATATGAACTTATTCCGAAGCTAAAAGTAGTTTAGCGGTGGGGATGGGATTTTGTTTGAGGCATCTTTATCTGTTTCTCTAATCTGGAGGCAAGGTAGCGATGATTTGAAATGTGAGATAAACTTGAGTTGTCTCTTTTAACAGAGCTGGGTAATCAAGAAATGGGCAGTGTGAAGGATTGTTTCTCTGTTTCGAAGAAACAGAGAATGTGGTAGATGAATATGCAAACTGAGCGCTGCGACTTGTAGGGACTACAAGTTCTGAGAAGTGGTCAGACTTCAGAGTGGTGCATCCTAATGTTCATTGCTTTAATTTTTTTAATATTTTTTTTTTTTATTTTTTTTTGTTTTTTTTAGGAGAAATAGTTTATTTGGGTTCATTAAAGCTTCAGATCAAATGCTTTCCATCGATGTGGATTTCTTGTTACCGGGGAAGGAGTTAAAACCATTTTCTTCTGCAAATTGGGTTTATATGGTCTCTTTGTTTTGTTCCATCCAACATGAGTTGCAGTGATTTAATTCGTTTTTGATGTTGCTTCTCATATGCGTATTGCATGTAAATTTTGCCAAGTTTGGGCAAAGCATTGTCAGCAGAAATGCATTGTAAGAATGAATCGTTTTACCAATGGAACTGAAGTTCTAAGCTGAAAATTGTAAGCTGAGAATTCAAGTAAATTACTAAGGCTTAGAAAATGAACGCCAACTTATTTGTGGAATATCATGATCCATTACCGCTTTTTTATTAAGAGTTTGATAGGAAACTCTTGTAGATCTCAATTATTTCCTATCAATCATCGGAAAACAGCAAGTATTTTCCACAAAAATTCACACAAAACCACGAAAACAGTAGATAATTTATATTATTTGATAAAAGGGAAACATAAAATACCAAGATACAATTGACCCTCTATTCGAGACGATGATCTCTCTCTCTCCCAAATATCTAGATGCCGCTAGAACCCAAAATCTAAACCTAAGAGATCTCAAATTTCAGCCAAATTGAAGATGCCATAATCTTAGGAAAACAAACTATTTAATGCATATAATCCAAAAGGAAATTTGTAAACAGTCTCTGCATTCAATTTTCCCTCCCAACTCCCTAAAAAAACCTTTCTAAAAAACTCTTTGGAACTTGACGGTTTGCTCGGCATACACAAGAGGTAGAGAGTAATGCCTCTGTATCCATAAGCCGGTCCCGTATGGACCGGCTTGACCGGTCCGTTCTATCAGAGTTCTTTTCCCGGCATTTTGTTTTGGATTTCAGTATTAGTTAAATTCTCAGTTTCTGGCTTATTCTGAAATTTGCAAAGGAAAATTAGCTTTATTTTGTTCGAAGAGAATGGTATAGCTTTCCACTCGATTTCATCTCATATTCTCACTTTCTAAGTCAATGCCACTTGATTATTTTTCTGCAATTTTATTATATCAGCTTTTACGCGACTAAAAATGCGTTATGGCCAGCTTATTGAATCAAGAACTTCAACATACCAGTCTGCTCTTCAATTATCGACATGTCTGGATTGTCTATTTGCTGAAGTGAGTATATTTACTTCTTTAATGACCAAATCATATTTCTGTATCACCATGATCTTGATCAATCCCTCTTTTCAGCTACCTGAAGCTGAAGAGAATGCTTCTCCAGTGGTAATCTATGAGGATAGTGACAGCGATGAAGAAGAAGAATCTGAGAATACAATGGACATTGACGAAGAAAATGAGGGGCTCGGGGCTGTGATTCAGAATTCTGATGGAAGTGATGTCGTCAGTGATTGAGGCTTTACGGCTTTTTTACGACTTCTTAAAGCAGCTTTTAAATACAAATATTTTAACTTTTATACTAAGAAGCTGTTTTAATAAGTAGAAAGAAAGCCGTCCCAAACGAAGCCTGAATTGTGGGGTTTTGATCGCATCGCTGTTTAAGGATATAGGTAATTGTTCTAATTTTGAGTTGAAGTCTGTTTGCTGAGTTCATGGTCTAAGTAGGTTGTTCTGATTTCAGTTAAAGATGATTTAAACACAAGCAATGCTTTTCAATGTGAATTCTATTTTTATTATTATTATTTTTTTATTTGATAAAGGATGACAGAGACATTTTATTAGAGAACATTAATTAACGTAGTAGATGTTAGTTGATTTGTTCATTAAAAAACGACTAATATGAGTACTTTTAAGCTTTCATTTAGATTTCGTTTGGAATAATTTTAGATCACTATTTTTTCCTGCTTTGAGGGTTTTTATTAAAAAATAATTTTATAAAATAGTAAAAAAGTCATCCCAAACAAACCCTAAAGAAGTAATTAAGAAATTATTTAAAAAAAAAGTAAAAAAATTGTCTCAAATAAAATTTAAATGGTTGGATCAATAAAAAAAAAAAATTTCAAGCATAAATTCATTGACTGCTAAGTTTTTATTGGCCTACTGTGAAAATTTTTTCACTGAAATTTAAAAGCACTGTATTATTTCTACATATATAATTAAGCTAATCATAAATGCTTCATTCTATTTTCTTAAATGTCTTGGGAGATCTTACTTTGCTCAAGGAATCTATCAGAATTCCAACCACAGCTTGAAGAATTAATGGTCGAGTCTAAAGGTGTCACATAAGAGAGAAATCAGGAGAGTTAAATAGAACTTTAGGATCCGTTTTAGATAGGCCATAATTTTTTATAAAGGTCATTATAAAATTATTGTGTAAAAAATATATTTTTTTAAGCTGATGTAAAAAGCAATTTTTTATTATAAAATTTTTCTGCATCGTATGAAAAATAGTTGCAAAATAGAAACGATAGTTGTGGTTTAAAAAACAAAGTAATAAGAAAACTGTCTTAAATGAAGGGTTCGTTTGGGCCGGCTTTCTTATTGCTTCTGAAAATAGCTTTTTAGTACAAAATTTTTTATTTTTGTACTAAAAAACTAATTTAAAAAGCAACAAAAAAGTCGTCCCAAACAAAATCGAAGCCTTAGTCAAATTAATTAGCAAGATGATTGTAAATATTATTATATAGAAATGCAAGATTGTTCCTTTGGCATAATATTTTTCAAAGGGCTTTGTTGAGGTGCAAGGCAAATTCAAAGGGAACATGAGAGGGGCACATGTTACCACTAAATTTTTAATATTTTTCTATATAATAGATATGTATTAATAAACTTAACTATTTGATATTTTCAAGACAAAAAAAAATTCAAATTGTCATCTTTGTAGTTAGGACAATATTGGTATAAATTTAAGCAAAATTAAACGAAGATGAAAAATGAAGACACCAAATAATGAAATCACAAGACTTATGTGATTTAGTGATATTCACCAAGTCATATAAAGAGAAAATATTTCACTAAGCCTTAAAAGAGGCCAGGAGTGCATTTAAAATTTCTTTTGCATATAAAAAGATAAGAATAGAGATATCCCTTTTACTATGTCAATGGTCGAGAGGAAGTACAACCACGACATAAATAAGGGCTAAATGTAGAGAAGGGGATGTTAATGCTATTGTTATTTCTATCTTTCATTCACCATTGTGGGAACTTTTTCTTCTCCTCTCCTCTATCACAATAGCTTCTCCTTAGTGTGACTAAAAGCTTTAGCCTTCTTACCTATCTCTTCCTCTTATTCTTGTTTGCTTTTGGTTATGAGATGCTTCAACATATACAAAATAATCTCTTTATATAGTGCTAAAAGATGGTAGGTCACATGCTTGATTTTATTAGACATGTGATGGAAGGTATCATAATAATGATTTTAGGCAAAGGATGGTAGGTATTAATTTTGTAGGATTTAGATAGGCAATGATAAGTAGAATCTTATAGGATTTAAGTTAAGATATTTTTTTTTTTCATATCTTAATAATAGCTATGGCAAAATTCTCCAAATAAATATAATATCTTCAAGGCATATCTATCATGAACAAACTTTGATCAAAATATTCTAAATCAAATTATTTTCTAATGAAAATTAATGTTAAGATGCTAGCATTTGACTTTTATAAAAAATTTTTAGAAAAGAATTATCACTAGAAAATTCATCCCATTAAGCACAAATCTTAACAAACATATTTGCTATAAAAACTTGGAGAATCAAATTCTTGACTATTTAAACTCTATTTCCAATAAATTTGTAGTTGGAACATACATCTTGATGAGACAACTTTAATGAACTCATGATTGCTCAGTTTTGATGTCATTGAGACACTTTAAAATTCAAATAATATTATTTGATCAAAATAATCAATATAAAGTATGCAAGAGAGAGTTATAACTTCTGGTTAAAATAATTAGGAAGTCCGTCTAAGAAAATCAATAAATAGATTTGACTTTCACACACTGGAGTTGTTTGAAGGACGCAAGAAAGGATTTCAAAGGAGCTATCTATAGCTCTACCTAATAATGTTGACACCCTTTTTTGCACCAACAGATTAGCATCTGCTATAAATAGCAACATCGATGTATGTTGTCGACATCAAAGTTGATACCCGCATTCAACATCAATATGAATGCTCGCTATTAACACCAACATCAATGCTCATTGTTGCCATTAAAGCTGACTTATGCTATCAACACTAATGCCAACGTCTACTATCTCTAACAAGGCCAATGCCTGTCATTCACATCAAAGCTAAAGCTCGTCATTGAAAGTAAGGTTTACACCCACTCTCACACCTAGAAAGATGCCCATTATCCACACCAAGTTAGACACCTGCTCTCGACACCAAAGACCATCATCAATAATTATTTTAAGCACCTACCATTGATATTAACATTCACACGTACTATTTTTATCAAGATAAATATTTCTCATTTTCTTGGTATCTAGTCTTTTCTCTTATAAGGAGAATGATCAAGTAGATCACGCACAATCATTTGATGACAGTTCCATATGCCTAATGATTCTTTCTATTTTCATCACGAAAGTTATCTTCCATAACACATATCTATCATATTATATTAATGATTTCTTTAATTTTAGAAAAGAAAATTTTCTGCAACTTAGAACTCACATTAGTGAAAACATTTCAACTAAGTCAGCACCTATGATTTTTCTATTCATAGATTTTTCACATAAAAAAAATCTCACATCTCATATTTGTGTGAGTGATTTTTGTACCATGCTAAAAAAATAAACTCTCTCTTTACTTGTCTTTCTCTGTACTATCACAAATGTTTAACTCACAACGAAAAATAAGATTGAATGAATAATTTGACATTAATTTTAATGTAAACCTATGATTACTTTTATTGTAAAATAAAATTATATGCATATATTATTAGCATTTTAGGTACATTTAATTAGTTTGGCTTGATCAAACCTTAACTTTCGTTAGAACTCGATAATAAATAAATAAATTCTTATAAAATTAAAAATTCAAGTGAATAAGAAAATTAAATAAACTTAATATTATAACAACAACAACATCAAACATTTATCCCACTACGTGATCTTCACTACATGAATCCTTTTTTTTTTTGTTAAGAGTCAAATTCCCATTTAAATTTAATAAAAAAGGTACATTTTTTATATTTTCTAGTCAAGTCTTTTGAGGTCTACCTCATCCTTTCTTAATATAGGTCAAATACAATACTTCCGCCCTCCTAACTAGATCATCGCTAGGCCAGCATTTTCTATGGATAAATAAATTAATACACATTTACAGCCCTTCTAAAGTGGCGATTATGGCAGCCCTTGAAATAGTAGGTCAGGAACCTGAAATCCATACATAATGACTCTGCAAACCTTGGGAAATATTCAAGATAGGATTGTTTCAAATGTGATGATAGAGATAAGCTCATCTTTTTCTCTTTCAGTTTTATTTATCTCTTTTGAAGAGGAAAAATTGTTATCTTTCCAGTTATTTTGATAGTTGTTCGAGTTGAATAAAAAAATAATTTCGGTATTGACCTATCCGAGGTTGTCTGTCAGAGCCTTGCTCGATGACATTAACGTGAAAGATGTCGAATAGAATCCCCCTGTGATCGATTTTACCTTGATTAGGAGGGGCGAACAACACTTGTATCCCGAATCAAAGGTGAATAATGGTCAATCTTTAGTCTGTTACTGCTTTTTTGAGGTCGAGATTAAGACCTTGCCCATAGAGCAGAAGTCCAGCAAGGGACTGCATAAAACTTATAATTGATTGGAAGCATCCTTGCATTTGCTAGAATTTTATTGTAATATCATCTTGATGTCGAAAGCATTGAAGGTTCTTTTTTATCACGGTTGGAGTCAAAGTTGCCCCACAGTCCATATCTGATTCTTATGAAATTGATGTTGCAATGACTAATATCAGGATATTGGCATGAGCAATCATTTGAGATTGGAGTAATAGTTGCCTCCTATGAAAGTGCTCTGATGGCACTTGAAAGTTTGACAGGAATATTAAGCCCTAATGAACTAGTCCCAAGGCTAAGCAAGAGGGGTGGGGGGGTAAATTGGTATTTTTAAAAAATCTCTTCAAACAGAAAACACAATTTTAAATCAAAACCAAGATTCACCACAGAATTTAAAGTGCAGAAATTAAATGCGGAAGCAGTAATAAAAAACATAAAAATTTATAATGGTTCGGTCAACATGACCTACATCCACTCCCCGGAGGCGCCCTCCGAGTATTGCACTAAACTCAGTGTCTCTCCTTTTGCCCCCACAATAAGGCGGAGAAGCATTTACAAACCTCCTTTCAACCAACCCAGGTGATTCAGAGAACCCAACTTTTTTTGTTTCCTCCAGAAGTAGGCAGATAACCCAACTCCTTTTTCTTCCTCCTGAAGTAGGCAAAGAACCTTAATCAGATGCTGAAGTAGACATCTCTAGAACCCCCAAGGAACTAAAGATGATGATTGGAGACAACGACAGATCCTTGCTTGGAGCAACCTTTGTGAAACCCCTCACAAGATCTTCTCTATCTCTCCCTTGCTCTCCCTCTCATCTTTGCTCTCTCAGGTCAGAACATCAACAAAAGATACTCTCTTCAAAGGAATAAGAGTTTTTCAATAAAAGAGCTTCGGAATAGCTCTTAATTGTAACAAACTTACTTTATCGTCCAAGATGATATAAATATCATATTGTACGATCAGTGCAAATTAAGCTCAATCATCTATGACGATTTGGGATGATTAGAAGGTTTTTGTTCATATCATCTAGGCTGATAGAATATCGTCCGATCCTGTATGATTAGTATAAATCGTTGAATATCGTCCAGACAATTGCACTGAATGGGTGTCTAGACGATGGAAAAATAGCTTGATCGTCCAGGCTGATCTCATGATCGTCCAGGACGATTATTTCAAATCCATGAGAATCGTTCAGAGCATCACCCTGAATAGCAGCTGGCCGATGTTTGGTTGTCCAGAAATAACTAAGGTTTATGAATTGATCGTCCTGGTCGATCCTGTGATCGTCCAGGCGATATGATCGAGCAATCAAATCTTAATTGCTTTCCTTAATTACCAGATTAATTTAAGCATAATTACTTTGCTTCATCCAGGACAATTTCCAAAAATAAACAATACCTAAATAGACCTGGCGGCTGATTCTTTCTGATTTGAGCCTATCGTTCCAGCTGATACGAATATCGTCTAGGATGATGAGCTTAATGATGGCTTCCTTAACCAGGATGCCCTAATTAGAGTTTTTATTTTTAACTGATCTTCCAGAATGATTTTTGGATCATCCCGGACGATGTGAGCAAAAAATAGAAAACTCTAAATCAGACAGAAAAAATTTTCCCTAGTGTGTGTGCACGCAAGGTTACTTAACATCAGGAACCACATTGTTTATAATAGACTCAAGAAAAGGAAAAGTGTATAAACTGACTCAGACCTAGTTTATCAAATCTTGAGCTGGTTCAAATTACAGTTTGATCTTGTGAACCTTAAATATTAATAGGCAAGACAGTCATAGAGAAACAGAAGTGTTTGCTATCATTGAAATCATATTCCCTGAAAATAGATTCACAACACCCTAGTCAGGAATGACGTTCCCACAGACAGTGCCAAACTATTGCATCTTGGAGTATTCTCGATGGTAGGAAAATATAAATTTTAGCGTCTTAGCTTTGTACGAATATCACACACATATAAAGATAAAAAGAGAGGGTGCAATATTCATAAAAGACCAAGATTTTTATATGGAAAACCCTGAATAGGGGAAAACCCATGGGGCCTAACCCAATTTGAATGAATCACTAGTATTTTCAGTTGATTACAAATGAGGCCCTTCACTAGATGGAATGTCTTGGCTTGATATAACAAATATAAATCATATAAAGTGTGTTACATTGTGGGAATAGGAAGAATTATTGTTAACATATTCATTTGATTGGAAGGATCATAGTCGGCGGGCGACGAAGGTCAGAAGGATCGTAGTCGGTGGGCGACAGTGGCAAAAAAGACCGTTGGAAGGGCTGTAGTCGACAGGCGATAAAGGACCACAGTCAGCAGGCAAGAATAGTAAAAAAATTGTTGTTTGGTGAAGGAGATCAGAAGTACCGTAGTCGGTTGGTGACGGAGGTTGGAAATTCAGTGAGGGCGGAAGTTTGACATCGGACTGAAGTCCGATGAAAGTCTAACAATGGGCAAAAGTTTGGTAAATGGCAGAAGTCTGACATCGGGTAAAAATTTGGTAATGGACAGAAGTTTGGTGTCAAGTAGAAGCCTGACAAAACTCCGACGACGAGCAAAAGTTTGGTGACGAGAATAACTTTGGCTTCGGATAGAAATCCGATGAAAGTCCGACGATGGGCAGATCAAGTCAGGCGATGGGCGGAAGTCTGGTGTCAGGTAGAAATCTAGGGATGGGCAGAAGTCCAACATCGGGTAGAAGTCTGTTGAAAATATGGTGATGGAAAGAAGTTCAGTGACGGGCAGAACTTTGACATCGGGTAGAAATCCGACAAAAGTCTGGCGATGGGTAAAAGTTTTGCTTAGGGTTGAATTTTGACAAAAGTCCGACGATATGTAGAAGTCATGCGACAGGTGAAAGTCCGGTGTCAGATAGAAATCCAGTGACGGGCGGAAGTCCAACATTGGGTAGAAGTTCGTTAAAAGTACGGTGATGGGAAGAAGTTTGACGACGGGCAGAACTTTGGCATCAGGTAGAAGTTCAACGAAAGTCCGGCGACGAAAGGAAGTTCGATGTCGGGTAGAAATACGTTAAAGGTACTGTGACGGGAAGAAGTTCGATGATGGGCGAAACCTCAGCTTCGGGTAGAAGTCCGACGACGGTCAGCGGATGGGCTGAACTCCAGCATCATTTAGTGGTCATGCAGAACTCCAGAGTTGATTGGCTGTCGGGCATAACTCCAGCGTTAGTTGGCAGCCGGGCAGAACTCTGGCGTCGGTTGGTTATCGGGCAGAACTCCAGCATTGGTAGGCTGCCTAGTTGAAGTCCGGTCGTGGTCGAGAAAAAGTCTGGTTGCAAGAGAGCTCTCTCCCTTCTCTTCCTTCTCTTCCTTCTCTTCTTGTTTGGGTCTCCTTGTTTTTCCCTTTTGGGGGTCCCCCTCTATGAGAAATGAAGGATCTATTTATAATTTTCTTAGAGGGTAATGACTAGAAAATAGGATGAAGATCAGGGGTAAATTGGGAGTGGTTTGAATGGATGACCGATGTTGAATTCCTTGATCATGGACCATTTATTGGGCATGAATGCCTTAATGATATCAGAATTAAGTGATCTTGGGCTCGTTGGATTTGTCTTGTCGAGCAGCTCGATTTGACTATAAGCATGTCATGTTTGAAAACTGTTTGGTAATCAACATTATGGTTTGAACCTTCCAAATGAGCTTTGGGTTTTCGATTTGGACCCATTTGTACCCGGATTATCAAATTTGATGTCGTTGGGTTTGTATTTCCTAGACGTTCAGTTCGACTGTAAGTTTGCTGAAATCAAAGTTTAGATGTCTCCGATTTATTTTTTGATATTTCCAACTTGATTTTGCTTCGAGATTCGTGTTTGATCAACATAATTTTTGATGATATATCAAAAATAATTTGTTTCTTGTGTTTATTTTAGCAACGTTTGTTGATTAGCTTTATTTACTACCACTTTTAAATTGCTTGGAATGTGATTATTGAAAAGTTGAATAGCCGATTGTAGGTGCTATTTTTTTTATATATAATATATTTTAGCTACAGGTTTGCGGAGAATTTGCGGCGGAATTTTGCTGCAAACAAAGAACTGATGAAGTTATATCGTACATTGCGACAGAAAATTCCGTCGCAACCTAAGACGGATTTGTGGTAGACATTCCGCCACAAGTTGTGAAAATTACGTTGCAAATGGCGATGGGCAAGCCGCCGTAAATTGTGACATAATTGACGCCACAAACTAGCCGCAACTGTTTAAAACGAACACGTCATTTTCTTGAAGTTACCTCCATCGTAAATTTGATGCAAATTATTTGTGATGTATTATATCCGACTCAAATACTTTTCCAACGTGAGTTTTAGCGTCGGAATATTTTCTACTGCAAAGCTAAATTTGCGACGCAAATACCTCACTTTCCATTAGTAGAGTAGTTTATACAATCGTATGGATGACTCATGCATGAATGCTTTTGTATTAATTATATTGAAAATGACATAATTAATAGTATATGTAATAAAATGATAGTACAACAATTTTAAAATATGAAGACTCAACAGAGAAATTGTAAATAACATGCAAGGAGAAGATGAAGAACAAGCAATTATGACAATTTTTTTTATAAATCATCAATGTTGGTCTCAACCCCAGATGAAAAAGCTTGATCATTATATTTTAAAAAATCGATAGTTTGTGTCCCTACAAGGAAAAATTATAGTTCTGCTCCTGCTTAGTTGATGAACACTTCATTATTTAAGACCAAAGTTACATATCTTATAACCAGATTCTTAACTACAACTAAGTAAGCAAAAATACCTTATTACAAAAAGGATCAAGAAGCAAGAAAGATTGGCATAGCTCATTAGTAGAATTATTTGAGTACATAAACTACATCAAGCTCTCAGAAAAGAAGTCTTTTCTTAAAAGCCACTAGCTCTTCTAGTAACAGTCAACCACCTGCAATTATATGGAGTTCATTATGTTCAGATAAAAATATAAATGCATGTGATTTTTTTAAGCTTAAGATTTTGTGACAGCTTTCTTGTTACTTTTTAAAATAATCTTCTAGAAATTTTTATACTAAAAAACTATTTTAAAAAGCAGTAAGACAGCTGACCCAAATCAAACCTAATAATTTGCAAATTGAGATTTACGTACCAATGTTTTCCCTCGGCGTATTGCATCGAAAGCATTCAGACCTGCTTGCAAAATTATGTTCATTGCATCCAAGCCTGCATAATTATACATAACATGCATGACAATCAATTATTTTAAACTCACGCATTATTAATTATGAGAAGATTAACTGATCATTTGAACTAAACTTAAGAAAAAAAGAGAAAAAACTTGTATGAATGATTAATAATGTGATTATGATTAAGATACTTCCTTCAGTATTAATACTGATCAATACGTTAACCATGCTAATAGCCTACCTGTTGCAGATCCAGTCACCAGATTTCCAACCAGGAGGGCGAGAGCCATGGCCGGAAGATGGAGCTCCGGCATTGCTGGCGACCTTGGAAGCTCCACATTTGAAGCAACTGTAACGGCTAGCATAGTTATGAGCACAGCAGGAGCAGCAATACCAGTCGCCGGGCTTAAACTCCACCATCCTCGGCGGCGGCTGGTTTTCTTCGTTGAAACCAGCGGGAACGCCGATCCTCGGCAGTCCACAGTGCTGGCAAGTGTCCCGCCGGCTGAAGTTGAGGTGGTTGCAGGACTTACAGTTCCAGTCCCCTGCCTTCCTGTTCATCTTCACTAACATTTTCATTCCAACATAAATATAGTGCAGTATATATGCTCAGAACAATCAGAGAAAAAATTTATATGAGAAGGGATTCCATATATGTTATGTGATAATTCGTTCAAGATATATCTCTTCATCTTCATGGAGGTAAAATTATGCTCAGCATAAAGAGAGAATGTTGAACACTAAATAGAACCAATCTAATTAAGGAGCATTAAGCATTTTACTAGTTGTGAAAATAGAGATGTCAGTAGCAATTTTTTTGCTGAAAATGGGGAAATTTGACAGAATTGTACCTCTGCAACACAAAGAGAAAAATTTTCATCTTTCTAGGCATGCTCAATAATTTTTTTTTTTCAAAAACAAAATATTTTCTAAATTTAATACTCAGTTTGTGAAGGAAAATACCTTAGAAGAAGTGAAATAGAAGGCCAAACAAATGAAGTAGTGATGTGTTAATTAGGCTTAATTGGTGAGATTAAGGTTTGGAGGAATGGAGTGTGTTTTTATACCATTAAAAAAAAAAGTTTGTCACCTTTAAATTCTCTCCCCTCAATAATAGAGAATCAAAGAGTGGGAATCATAGAAGGTCTTCACTCCCCTTGATATTGGCTGCCCATATACTTGAACAACAATGAAATCTTGCAAAAAAAAAGAAAATAAATTATTAGCTTTTAAGGTGGAGAGATAAATATGAAAATTTTGGACTAAAAAGAGAAGGGAAAAAAGGTTAGTGAATATTTTTAGAAGTGCCCTTTTATTAATTTCAAAAGTTCATCTTTAGGACGTGGCTTGTAGATTTCAAAGAGAAAAAGATTTAAAAAAGGCAAAGAATCAAGCATTAGTGAGGGATTTTGAGGTGAAAATATTCCTTTCTTCCATATAATTAATATATTTTGAGTATTATCTTTTTTATATTTTACGTACATCATAAAAATAAGATATTTATTAACAATCTAGATCTCTTTCTATTTCACTCAACTCTTTTAATATATAATATGTTATATGAAAATTATGTTGACTTTCTTAAATTGCGTAAATCATATATTTCGTGCTAAAAATGCCTCCATAATGGAGAATGATTAGTCTTAACTATTGCTTAAGTGAAGATTAAATCAAGTGTTATTAAGTATGAACTTGAAAATAAGTTATTGTCAACTATATAATTGAAAGTTGGCTTATGTTTTCACAACCATAAGGTTTAGTATATTTTTCAAGATATCCTCTTAAGTTGTTTGTTATATATAAAACAAATGCTATAATGTATAAGATTATACTAAGTTCATTATTGATCTTAAGAACACTGCATCAACTAGTGCTATATAATTACATATTTGAACTAATCTAGTTAGGCTATATATACTTCATGATTTTCTTCTTTGTAGATTTTTTTAAAGTAATAAAATGTTAAATTTCTTATGCACAGTGAGAAAAATAATGTTATACTTATAGGTTATATATATATATATATATTCCATCAATATGAGAATAGGTGATACTTTTCCAAATTTTATAGAAGATTAATTTGAGAGGTGGTTTGTAGAGCGGAATATATTTGTGGAGTAATGATCAGATGAAGTTGGTAAGAGATTATGAGGGAAAATAGGATTTAGGGTTTAATAGAGTAGGATAGGAAGTATATATTGACATGATTATCCCAAGAGAACTCATCTGTAAATATGTTACCAGCACAAATGACATTATTAAATCTTATCAAACCGAAGTTTATTGGAAAAAAACAATTTCAAAGATTTTTGATGATATAGAAGAGCTTATCTCTTTCATATGCTAGTCATTATAAGGGACGATTGTTCCATGATCTTATTTATGAGATTGAGAGTTATTAAGACTCATAAAGAAAGATGAATGAAAGGGTTTAACTAAAAAAAGTAAGAAGACTTTGCTCTTTATCCATTTTAATTCATGGAAAAAGGAACCCTTTATTTTTGGGGGTTTGCTCGAAAACAGGGAGAATACACTTTGAGTTTTGGATGTAGATATTAAGGCCGAGAGCTAGCCAGAGTTTATCTTATTATTGATGTGGAGTATGGGGAGAGGTATAGAGCTATAGAGCATTAGTCATAAATCTTCTTGACTTTCTTATGTATTGCATGCATGTTGATCATGTGCACACTCATATCTCTAATTATTCATGAATCTTCATACTTATCATATATCATGCATCTTAATTATACTATTACATTATGATAGAACCACATTCATTCTTCAAAATGTCATGACTTATTGTATATGTAATTTACATTCATTATATGTTCAAAACATCTATATCTTTAGCATTCGTGATTTTCTTTTCATTTACAACAAGCATATTGCATACACAATATTGCAACAACTAACATATAATATTTGCATTTATTTTTACTTCTTAATAATGTAATTTCTTATATAATCTTATAATGAAATTTTAATGTTGCTCATATAAATGTGAATCGATATCAATAAATACATTGCGATTTCGCAATCCATATCATTCAATCAAATATTATTGCACATGCACCTAGATCATACTAAATTAGATGTACGAATATGCAAAGAAGATCAACTTAGGCTTCATTTAGGACAAATTTTTATTACTTTTTAAAGTAGCTAGCTTTTTAGTATAAAAATTTCAAGTTCAAAAAATTTTTATATTAAAAAACTTCTTTAGAAAATAATAAGAATGTTGTCCCAAACGAAGACTTGAAAGGCAATATAAATAGTAGCTAATCACCCCATCACCTCGATCAAAAGAAAAAAAAAACCGACACCTTCCCTTAGATCTTTATGCTGATTCTAAATTCTTAAAAAAGGCAATAATGCAAGTACATTGAACATATGCTCTTACTTATTATATAACATAAATTATCACTTGTGTTGCTTCTTAGATTTTGCACTAAGTGAATACTTTAGGGATTTTGTTGATAAAATATTCTTGCCAAATTCCGGTTTTTTTATGGAAAGGGATGCGGGCAGGAGAAATGTGTGGCCTCCACAAATGTTTTTTGGTGCTTGCCACCACAATTTTCATTGAAGATTTGCAAGCTTCAAAGAATATATTCCAAATTGAATAAGAACCTAGCTAAGATTGCCCTATAACTATATGTTCACTTCATAGACCCAAAGCTCTTTCTTACTCAATGAAAATTAGCTTGTTACATAATGAGTCAAATTTGAGGAATAGTAATCCAACTTATGGTCAAAATTAATTTATAATTGTTGCGGACTAGAATATACGTGGCGATAGAGTTAAAAAACTTCCGTCTTAGCATTGTATGAATTTCTAGCACACAAAAAGAGAATAAATAGCAACACCATGATTTTAACGTGGAAAACCCTAATGAAAGGGGAAAAATCATGAGGCCACGTCCAATTGAAAGAGTATAGTACCACTAGTGTTTGCTTGAAATACAAGAGGGTGACTCATCCTTAAAATTTTAGGACAATCAGGTTACAATGAATCTTTTTAGGATTGAAAATCAGTTACAACGTTGAGCAGAGTTCCGGCTTCACTTGGCGATTGTGCGGAGTTTTGGCATCCTTCGGAGGTCGGGCAAAATTTCGGTGTCGTTCAGAAGTTGGACAGAATTCTTCCGTCTGATAGAACTCTAATGTCACATGAGCGCCGGACAAACTCCGGCGTCACTCAGGCGTCAGGTAAAGCTCCGGCGGTGGTCGAGGAGGAGTTATTCCCTCCTATCCTTCTCTTTTGTTCTTCTTCTCTTCTTCTTGCTTGGGTCCCCTCTCATGAGAAATGAGGGGTCTATTTATAGATATTTCGGAGTGACATAGCTTGTAAATAGGTGTGAGATCAGGGGTAAATAGGGAGTGGTCGAATGGACGACCGATTTTGAATCCTTTGATCGTGCACCGTTCATCAGACATTTGAAGGTCTTAATGATCTCAGAATTTGGCGATTTTGGTCTCGTTGGATTCTTCTCGTCGAGCCACTCAATTCGACTATAAGAATGTCATATTTGGAAACCGTTTGGTAACTCGAATTATGATTTAATTGAACTTTATAATAGCGATTCAGGTGCTTGATTTGGACTCATTTGGGCTCGGATTGAGTTGAATTTGGTATCGTTGAGTTCGTATTTCCGAGACGCTTAGTTTGACTGTAAGTTTGCTGAAATCGAAGTTCTGGTCATGATCCCGGATTTAATTTTTGAAGTTTTCAGCTCGATTTTGCCTCGAGATTCGTGCCTGATCAAGATAATTTTTTTGAGGATATATCAATAATAGAAGATGAAATTTCAATTTTCTCTTGAAAAATTAATTGTAATAATGCGAAGATCAGTGTTTATGAAGCCATGGACGTGTTGTTGATTCTTAATGATTTAATGGGATCATACATCCCTGCTAGATAGAGAAAATAAGTTGCGATATCTTGAACAAAAAATTGATCACAATGAGTTATAAAGCAATTGTATTTAAATTTTTTTGGCGGGGAGAGATAGGGCGGGTGTTCAAACTAAGACGACGATAAGGATTCTCAAAATTTTTTTTTTTTCATAATGTACAAAATAAAAGAGGGATAATTCAGTGTAAAATATCTTATATTTAAAATTTTTAAGACTATTAATATTGTTGTATTTAAAATAAATTCATCCAATTACTTTGTAATATTTGATTGATAAAAATGAAATAAATTACTTTTTAATATTTGATTCAATAAAATGTAGAGTATTACATTTTAATTCAATAATGTAAGATAAAACTTTAGGTGGTCTTCTCATGACTGCTTCTCCTCGAGACAGGTGCGCCTGAACGTGTCCACTAATCTATGCAGCCTAATTACACGTGTCACTCACACATTACACCTCACGCCCTATAAACTTCCTCCCTTCCCCAATACAAAGCAAACGAACCCAAAGTATTTAAGTTGATAAAAAAAAAATTCAGAAAAAGAAGAAGTGAAATGGCGTCGACTCAGGACAAGACTGCTTACCACGCCGGTGAGGCCAAAGGCCATGCTGAGGTTTCTCTCTCTAGTCTCTCTCTCAAACAACTAATTTTTGCTCGCTTTATAGGTTATGCTTAACATCGTCTCGAGATCAATCAAAATGCGACACGTCATTTCTTCTCATGGCACTATGGCTCGATAATAATGACGTGACTGTATTTAATTCGCCTCCAGATGTAAAACTACATCTGATATCCACACGGAATAATTTCTCTTACAAATGATAGAGGCTTTGGGATGTTCGATCTTCTTATTGATTTTTTAAAATATTTTTTTAATATATAAATTATTTTAATTAAAATTTTGAACTAAAAAAATTAAGAAAGTTTGTCCGAAATCTGTTTGGAGGATTGCAACTTTTTATAAAAATGATTGTAATAATATTATTTGATGAATCATTTAAAATATATTTAGTCTTCAAATTGTTTGTGATCCGTTAAACACGCCCAGAAGATTGAGGGGTCAGTCGTTTACTAGGATAAATAGTTTTAATTAATTAATATCCTGATTAGCATTTCAAAATTTTATAATATGGGTGGTAGTCATCATATAATATTAGTATTTTATTAGATATGTAAATAGTATAAAATAAAGTGATATGTAGGTAAAACCTCCTAAAATAAAACTAAAGGAATACAAATAAACATAAATTTATTTTTTTCTTATCATCATCCTAAAATAGAGATATTTACATAATATATTTAGTCTTTATTTAGAACTTTCCTATTATATTTTAAAACAAACAGTCTTTTAATACAAAACTTTATTTTTAAAAAAGTATTTGTACTAAAAAATTGTTTTAAAAAATACTAAAAAATCGGTTCCAAATAAACCATCACAATTATAATTAATTATTCTTTTGCACTTGTTGTAATAAGTCTTTTGTGTGTCCAATTCTCCTATAATTTGATCTTCAAGAACAGGTTAGATGTTCTCACAGTACTACAAAGAAAATTGTATATTATCGGGACCATGTCCAACGGAATACATTAATTTTCCGGCAGTTATGAAAATTTCCATAGCTATTTTCCTGCTGTTTAAGGACAGCCAAAATAAGCCCCATAGGAAATCAAAACAGGCCGTTTTCCGATGGCTATAACAACCGGAAATTACGGTTGTCAAAATCGCAAGTAAACCGCCAGAATATTCCGGTGCAAATACCACAAATTAACCGCTAGAATATTCTGGCACTACGGCGGTTAATTGGTTTTTAACCGGCTGCCCAACCGTCGGTATTCAGTGAATTTCCTCATTTCTTGTGGTGTCAAGAGAATGGTCAAAATATTGTACAGTATTCTGCTTAAAAGAATTTTGCAAAAGTAAACTATTTGCTCAATCAAATATGTCCATTGATGAGAACCTAATCTTAAAATTGAAACGAAATCATTAGTTTTCTCTCACATAAACCTGATTCCGTTGTTGCAGGAAGAAATGAGGGAGAAGATAGCAAAGGCGAGGGCGTTGGCGGCGGAAGCTAGACAGAAGGCGGGCTTGACGGCTCAGGCAGCGAGGGACAGGGCGTCGGAGAACGCGGAGACTGTCAAGGAGAAGACATCGGAGACTGCCGAAGCGGCCAAGGAGAATGCAGTCGAGGGAAAGGAGAAGACTGGTGGCTTTCTACAGCAGGTATATATTATTATTCGAAAATATTTATAAGATTTTCATTACATTTTTGTAAAATATAATATTTTTTTACTCATTTGTATATATTTAACATAGTAAAAATAAATTTGGATTCTGATTTATTTATATTATTTTTTATTAAATAAGCTTAATTTGTTCGAGCAGGCTAGTGAGAAAGTGATGAATGTGGCGCAGGGAACAGCAGAAGCAGTGAAGAGCTCTTTGGGAATTGGTGTAGACAATAAGGACAAGGAGACGGCTGCTGGAGGAAATAATATGAGCAAATACTAATGAAAAGATGGAAAGAGCCATTGATTGGAACTTTTATTTGGTTCGGTTGACCGGATGCAAGAAGCATCCGATCGTAGGCAAAAAAAAACGCGGTACCGAGGTGTACCGAGTTTTTCAAAAAACTCGGTACACCTCGGTACCGAGTTTTTTTTGCCAACGACCGAATGCTTCTCTGCATTCGGTCGGAGGACATAATAATTGTTCCATTGATTGTGTGTTTTTTTTTTTTTCCTTCAATGAGAGTACTAAGAGCACACAACTCTCCTTGGCCTATTGGTTGAGAGCTTAGGCTTCCAGCTAAGAGGTCAAAGGTTCGAGTCTATGTGTATGCGTTGTGTGTGTGAGTTTGCCTTAAATGGCCTAAATGTCCCAAAAAAAAAGAGTACTAAGAGCCTTGGTACAAATTTAGAAATATTAATGTTATTGTAACAGATTGTATTATCTTGTTCTTGAATTTCTCCTAAATGCTTTGATTTCGATAATAATCAAGATTTTATTTAAACAGTTCTTTGCTTAATAATTTTGTTTCACTTTTACTTTCTGATCATTTTTTTTTAGAAAATTTTATACTAAAAAAGTGTTTTTTACAATTAGAATAATTATTGTATTTTTACCACTGTTATTTCACAAGCAACTTTATAAAATGATGCAACCGCCTCAAATAAATTTTAAGAATTACTTTGCGAGGCTATGTGCATTGTTCAATATTTGATTGGTTCATCAATGTAAAATAGAATGTGTCCAAAGTCAAAAAATTAATTCTTTAATTTCATAAAACTTTATCAAGCCACTAACTTTGTTTTTCACTCCGGACATGTTCATAGACCAATTCGGATACGCAACGTTACCCAATGCACAGTGCATTGGATGATGTGGCTTGACCGGATTGGCCTCCGGACGCGTTCGTACACCGCACAGAATAATCTCTTATGTGCAACAGTGTAGAGAAATTAGTATAGCTATTTTCAAATTTATTGTCATTCTTTCTTGCTAGACGTGACATACAAGGAAAAAAATATCAATCATGGGAGAAAATTTTTAAAAACTCTGAATGAACATAAGATCAGAGGGTTTAGATACTGTTGTGTTTGATAAGAAAATAAAAGGTTGTGGAGAGACAGAACAAATGCTTACAGTTTTTACATGAATGAAAGTATAGCATCAGAAGTTTGTCGCGCATCCATCAAACATAGCCAAGTAGAGAAAAAGGAGCTGAGTGCATAGCCTTTATGCCTTGTATAATAAGACCAATTAATATTTGGCATGTAAGAGAAAGCCTAAGTGCTAAAGTGGTACCCCAAAGAATTTTTATCAGTCCATGGATCATCTGAGTTTGATAGTTAGAAATGGAGACTACCTTTAATGGCGTCGTAGACAGTCTCAATAAGTTTTGACGACAAAGAAGAGGGATCGAATGGCATGGCTTGCAAAATAAATCATATTTAGAGTGCCACCAATTGCTAATAAGGCCCAACGAACTTAACTGATGTGAAACATGTTAGTTAAAACATTCCTTAGGATTAGCTTATCTAAATTTGTTACTTATGGTTTCTAGAATGCTCTTATTAGCCTATAAATAGACAAAGTATTGTAGTAGGAAATATTATTCTCTTTGAAGCTTTTGAAGCTTGATGTTTATCTTTGTTCCCTGGATTGAAATTTTCTTCTTGCATCCTCTTCTTCCGACGATCCAATGATTATCCCCCCACATCATTAACACTCTCCTAAAAACATGCTGCAATGTTGATATTGAATAGAGACCTACCTTAGCTTATAATTTTTTTTTCCCATGACATCAAATGAAGCTTACATAAATATTCCAATATAATGAAAACTAGAATATTCCAATCTAATCAAAGTAGGCAAGAGTTTTCTAGTAAGATAAATTTAGTGGTTGAAATCTCCCGTCAAAGGAAGTAGATTTTCCCTTCCACCCATTTAGTATTTGATAAATCTTATGTAGAAGATGTTAGAACTCAATGAGATGGAGATGATTAGGGGTGAATAGGGATTCACATATATGTGATCTTAGAATCAATCAAGAGAATCATGATTAGAGTTTAGAATAATATCATGCGAAGCTATGAACAAGAAAAAAAAATGCTTTTTGGGTGATTATGTGAAAGCCAATAGCTCACCGAAGTCATGGAGAGTATCTTTTAAGGAATTTGTATTGATGAGAGATGTTTTTCGTCCAAATAAATGCAAGTCATATACATAAAGCAAGGGAAAATGGTGATTGTTATCGCTAATAATGTATGGTGAGGAAAAGAGTGGATATCCTTCTCATAAGCCAAAAGAGGAGATGAAAAAAAACCTTCAAGGGAATCATTATATATGTTGAGAAGTCAGCTTGTTCATTGCAAGCCTTTATCCAATCAAAATAATAATAAGGGAAAGCCATTACAAAGCATTTTGGATACAAGGAACTAATAGCTAATAGTGTAAAAAGCTTTTTGGATGTCTTGTTTTGCATAGAAATTGTTATTAACTATGATGTATTGAAATTCATAGAATTTTACAAACTAAAATTTGTTGGCAATTGACATTCCGCCCAAAATGAATCCTGGTTGGCTTAAGTGAATGATATAATACAAGATAATTTTTGGTTTGTAAGCAATAATAATTGTTGCGTCCTGGAATATTCACGGCGGTAGAGAAATATATAGTTTAATGTCTTAGTGTTGTACAAAGATTTAGCACGCAATCAGATAAGAGAGAGATTGTAGCGTTCATATATGAAAAATAATTAATTCTAAATATTTATTATAGTCATTTTTTAGGAAATATAATTTTCGTCGGAAATTCCTTCGGAAATAAATTCGTCGGTAAGCTAATCAAAAATTCAGCCGGAAGTCCATCGGAAAGTCTGCCGAAAATGTTCCGTCGGTAATCCGTCGGAAAAGCAACCAGAATTTGTGACGAATTTATTTCCGCCGGAAATTTTGTCGAAAATAAGCTATTTTCTTGTAGTGATAAGAGACACCAAGATTTTTACGTGAAAAGCCCTGATAAAAGAGGGATAAACCACGGGGCCTGGCCCAGTTTAAATGAATCCACTAGTATTGAAGTTGATTACATATGAGGCTCTTCCTTGGGGGAAGAACTTATCTTGATGCACATCTTATAGAGTACATTATATGGTGGGAATACAAACAATCATTGTTGATATGTTTGTTTAGACGGAAGGATTGTAGTCAGTGAGTGACGTAAGCCAGAAGAACCATAGTCGGTGGGCGACGGAGGTCGGAAGGACTGTAGTCGGTGGGCAATGTAAGTCAGAAAGACCGTAGTCGACGGACGACAGAGGTCGGAAGGACTGTTGTCTGACGAAGGAGGTCAGAAGGACGGCGTTAGGTGAAGCCCAACAATGGACATGAATCTAAAATCAGATAGATCGATGTCCGGCAAAAATTTGACAACGGGCAGAAGTCCGACGTCGGTCGGCGCACGGGGAGAACTCCTGCATTAGATGGTATTCGGGAAAAACTCCAGAGTCACTTGAAGATCGAATGGAACTCCATCGTCACTTGGAGGTCGAGCATAATTCCTGCGTCATTTGGAGGTCGGGCGGAATTTCGACGTCACTTGGAGTTTAGGTAGAACTTCTACATCACTTGAAGGTCGGACAAAATTCCTGCATTACTTGGAGTTCGGGTGAAACTCTGGCGTCACTTGGAGGTTGGGTGAAATTTCTGCGTCACTTGGAAATCGGGCGGAATTCTTGCGTCACTTGAAGGTCGGGCGGAATTCCGGCGTCACTTGAAGTTCAAGTGGAACTTCAGCGTAACTTGAAGGTCGGACATAACTCTGGCGTCACTTGGAGGTCGAGCGGAATTTCAAATTTCACTTGGAGGTAGGGTGGAGTTCCAGCGTCACTTGGAGGTCGGGCAGAATTCCGGCGTCACTTGAAAGTTGGGCAGAATTCTGGCGTCACTTGAAGTTCCAAACTTCAGTGTCACTTTAAGGTCGGACAGAACTCCGGCGTCACTTGGAGTTCGGGTGAAACTCTGGCGTCACTTGGAGGTCTGGCGGAATTCCGGCGTCACTTGGAGGTTGGGCGCCGGCAGAATTCTCGTGTCACTAGGAGGTCGGGCGGAATTTCAACGTCACTTGAAAGTTGAGCGGAACTCTGGTGGTGGTCGAGGAGTTTCTTCACTCATATTCTTCTTTTCTCCTCTTCTTACTTGGGTCCTCCTTCCCTCTTAAGAGAAATAATGGGCAATTTATAGTTTTTAGAGAGTGGCATGACCCATAAATAAGGGGAGGATTAAGGGAAAATGTGGAGTGGTTTGGATGGACAGTCGATATTGAATCCCTCGATCATGGACCGTTCGTCAAACATTTGAAGGTCTTAATGATATCAGAATTCGACGATCTTGGACTCGTTGGATTTGTCTCGTCGAGCCACTCGATTCGACTATAAATATGTCATGTTTGAAAACCATTTGGTAATCCAAATTATGGATTGAACCTTTCGAATGTGCTTCGGGTCTTTGCTTTGGACCCATTTGGGCTCGGATCGAGTTGAATTTGGTGTCGTTGGTTTTGTATTTTTGTGAGACGCTCAGTTCGACTGTAAGTTTGCTGAAATTGGAGTTCAGATGAACTCAGATTTAATTTTTGAAGTTTCCTACTTGATTATTGCCTCGATATTCGTGCTCGATCAAGATTATTTTTTGATGATGATTGTTGTCTATTCTGTGCAGCTGTAGAGTTTAGGGTAAAATTCAATAAACATAGATGGGAGACTGTCATTTTTCTTTTTCAAATGTTACAGGTTTCCAGCAGCCAACCGGCGGTTTGGCTACCGGAAACCTTGATACCGGACGACTTATTATAGTGACTGGAAGTTCACTAAAGCCGCCGGTAATTGTTGACGGTTTATCGACGATTGCTGGCGGTATCCGGCAAGACTCCGGCGGTTTAGCCGCCGGAAACCGTTTTCTACGTGGTTTATTCAGATGGTTTTTAAACCGTCGGAAAGCCGCCGGTTTTTTAATAAAACCGCCAGAAAAAATCGCCGATAATGCCTTAATTTCGAGACTTTTGCTACTATGATTTTCTTTGTTTTATTCTTGCTCTGGATGATGATGATCGATTATTTTTGTCCCCTCCATTCCCGTCCTGGGTGGTCTCCGCTTCTCCAGCTCAGGCAACCGGGTGTTTCTTCTCACGAGTGCTACGCTCTAATCAATTCCATGATGTTTTTTGGATATTGCCTGAGTCCAGATAGGTCCATGCATTCCCTTTTTATTTTGATAGTTTGTTAGCAGCACCCTCTTTTGGGCATACTTAGTTGTACTATTTTATTTTCTTTTGTACACTAAGCTTTGTCAGTTTTTTGGAGCAGCTTCTATATGTATTCTATTATCTAGGAATAATTTCAATCCTGCCTTGGAGATTAAGCTTTTAAACCAAGGATGAGATGTCCATAACATTTTAAACTGGAACCTGTGTGTGGGAAGAATCAATGGAGAGTGACCAGAGCAACTTCAGAATTTGTTATAGTGCCCCCTAGCAGAATTTTTTAGAACTTGATTCTTTCTAGTTGGATTTTGGGCAATGCTGCAGTGGTTATTCCTGCACAACCCAGCAACTCATGGTAGCTACCTCACTTGATCCATCGTTTATGTTTTTTACAGCTCTAATAGTGCACGCCTGTGTGCTCATTTGGTCCGAGTCTCTTCCTGACTTTACTGATGTGTTTTTTTTGTTTAGTATTTTCGGCATTTTCAAGTCTTATTACATACATTTTATCTTGTAGAGCTATGCCCTTTTTCCTTTTTTGCTTTCAGCTTCCTTTTTTTCTCTTATTACTTCGCAGAATTGAGCTATATAGTTCCTGTGCAAGCTCTTGAACTTGCTAGATAGGAGAAATTATTTTGTGCGGATGTCGAATGTAGCTTTATATCCGGAGACCAATCAGAATGAGCCACGTAAATAATAACGGTGCGGTATCGATCTGCGGTACCAATGTGACTCATTTTGATTGATCTCCAAATGACATTCGCAGAATAATTTCTCGCTAGATAAGGAATAGTTATCTAAGCATTTCACAGTGTAAAAAAGAATAGTCCCAAAATTATCATAAATGAAGCCTAAGTGTAAAAAATCTCAACTACGTGGAAAAAGCTCTTCCACCGGCCTCGGCTTTTATCCGCCACATCACAATATGTAAAACAATTCCAGGATAAGATAAACAATATTATCATATAAAATCTTAGGTGTAAGATATCATATCTACGGATTAGCTGTACATCACCGACCAAGACACCGCCTTCTCACTTCTCCCCCCATCGACAGGTGCCCTTCAACGTGTCACCTTATCCATGCAATCAAACACACGTGTCACTCATACATTACATTTCACGCCCTATAAATCTCCCTCCCTTCTCCTTCACCAAGCACTAAATTTACTCTTCAGAACTCTAGCAGAAGATCAAGAAAAAGAAAGCAAGTGACAATGTCGACTGGTGACAAGGCTGCTTTTCACGCCGGCGAGGCCAAAGGCCAAACTCAGGTCTCTCTCTCTCTCTCACTCTGATGCTTCACTGATTTCTGTGCTTCGAAGCTTAGACTTCCTTTGGGGCTGCATGTTATTTTATTATTTTTTAAGATAGCATTTTAGTACTAATATTAACAGCTCTATACTAGAAAGTTGCTTTGAGAAGCTGTAAGAATGCCGTCCCAAACTAGGCACAAATTATTAAGTCCGGTCACTTGATGTCCGGACATCCAATACAGACACGTCACATCACCCAAATACATCAGGACCCGGTGTTTTTTTATTGATTTCACCGTCTGGATTGGTGTCCGGATGAATCCGGACATTGGACGTAATAATTTGCCCCCAAAGTAAGCTTTAGACTATTTTAGGTGCTTAATTTTAAAACCTGATCCCGTTGCTGCAGGAGAAAACGGATAATTTGTTCGGAAAAGCTTCGAACGCGGCTTCTGGAGCTAAGGACAAGACGGCAGAGACGGCGCAGGCGGCAAAGGATCATGCAGTAGAGGGAAAGGACAATGCTGGTGGCTTTCTACAGCAGGTATTGTTATTTAAATTTATTCATGATTTTAGTTACTTTCTTGTAATATACTAAGATATACAAGTAGATCTTTAATTTTGTTGATGAATAAGACAAATTTGTTGCATGCAGACTGGAGAGAAAGTGAAGAACGCGGCGCAGGGAACTACCGACGCTGTGAAGAACACTTTGGGAATTGGAGAGGAAAATAAGGGAAACTAGTTAGCTTCAGAAGCTCGGCTTAGAATGGCATCACATTGAATCTCGATTTGTTTCTGTTTGCTCTAACTGTTCTTGTCTTGTTGCTTTGATTGTAGTAGTAGCTAGTAGTGTCATCTTCCATTGATGGTTGTTTAATTTCAATGTGTAAGGTCTGCAAGTACTGAATTATGGATTATATTATTAAATAAAGTGATGGCAATTGCTTTTTATTGTTTGTTGTTCACTGGTAAGTGCATTTTAATGGCGCAGAAGTTTGATCGATCATTTTGTATTAGCTACTTGCATTTCGACAAATAAACAAACGAACCAGCAGTGGGTTTAGGAGTTAAGAGCTTTGAACTGGAAAACTGGCATTGGGTTAAGATTTTACTTGGGACAATTTTTAGCTTGTCAAATTGTTGTACTAAAAAAATTTTTTTGGAAAACAAAAAATATAGCTTCTCAAATCAAATGAAGTCGCCTTTACATTATCTTTTATAACTATGAAAATTACATAGTTAATTCTTCGACTTAGCTACAAAACACTTTTTCAACTTGTTTCAAATAGATAGATTTGTTTTATTTAATCTAAAGTTTATCATTATCACATGCAATAAGAGGCCTATAGTTAGTTCTGTTTTCAAGTATTAGTGGATTACAAATTTTTACCAAATGAATCTTTAAAATATTATTTTAAACTCGTTTTTCTTTTAGTTAGATTTGAGAGATATCATGCATGTGTGAAGTTTGATTGAGATTGTATTATGTGATAGAGGGGTCTGAACTCTTAAAATCCATTCATATATCATTCTTATGATAGAGGAGCCTGCGCATTAATTTTAGAAATCAATTTAGGGATTTAAAGCTATTAATGTTTTACATTCAAAACAAAAAACTTATATAAGCTTGAAATTTCAATTAAATTATTAAAAAAATAATAATAAGAGAAGATATGGGGCGCCAAGACCCACCACCCAAAAATGAGATAAGAGTACAAATAGATTAAAAAGATTAGTTTTGGATAAGATTAATTGTATTGAAAGAGGGCACAATTCATAACAAAGCAAAAGAAGCTACCAGCTTGCAAAATAACTTACAAAAGCACAATTCCAAAGACAAGTTTAAGCAACATATAGCACACATGCAATCAATAGAACTATAGAAACATCAACCATGCTATTAAAAATGAATCCAAGACTTATGTTCACGATCTAAAGCCTGCAAGATAATGAGAAGCACAGTAGAAAAAAAGGATCACAAGCATCATCAAAAAGGGCACAGAATAGCCAAAAAATCACCCACTATATAACCAACCTCACACAACAATTCACAAGAAGCAACCATGCACAACACCAAGCCAAGAATAGACCCACTAACAACCAAACCCATAAAACCTGAACCGACAAGAACAAAAGTCACAAAGCTCAGAATAAAAACCAGAAAGACACCAGCACCCAGGATTCCTAGAAATGACCCAAAATAAAGAATCTAGGCCATCAAAGTCAAACCAACCCGCAACAAACAAAGCAACCAACAATGAGCAAGACCCCATTAACAAGAAAACCCAAGCCCAACATAACTAAAAATTATAAGTAGGATTAGAGTAAGCTTTAGATATAGTAAATCAAATCTACATTCATAGTACTTGAAATTATGCACAGATTTTTTATTTTTATTTTCCTTAGTTTTCCTGCCTATAATTGGAGAAACCGTCTTTAATAACTGGAGAAATCATCATTACCAACTTGCACAATGTTCAAATCAATATCATGCATCCTAAGAGCCATTGTCAAGACCTGCCTCAACCTCCCGAACACCCTAATTGACTAACTAATCACAACGGATCAACCAGTCGGATTGATAAATGTAATTATCAATTACATTGAAATATAAATGTTGCTTCCCAGGCCACACCCAATTTTAATAACACATAGGAGAACATGATTTGTTAATTATATGCATCTTATTAGAAACATCCAAAACACTAGGAATATTACCTTATGTCTCCTGATCAGGATCATGAAAACCATTAGCATCTAAACTAGAGGCCACATTTAACATGTTTTTACTGACCCGATGATTTACAAAACACTTTAAAGATAAAACAGTTTGTTGATTACCAGAACTATTAATAACAGGAGCCAAAAAAAAAAAGTTTAACAACTATAGTATTAATAAAGCCCACGATATCCTCAACAATGACATTAGTATTAATATGAGGAGCTAAACAAATGTTTTCCTTAGCTACAATATTCACCGGCTTGGGATTATTCATTGATTCATTTTCTAAATGAGGGTGAAGGCTAAAACATTCAATTTAAATATGGCCCAATGTTTTGCAATGTTCATAAAAAGGAAGAAATTTCTTCATCTCAACATGTTGAATATAACCAATTTTTCAGGCCCAAGCCAAACGCTTTCGGGATATCATTTGGTGATATCTAATTCCATCAAAATATGAGCAACTAAGGGACAAGATCCATTCAACGTAGCATTATCAATTTTAAGCGAGCGATCAAATAACGATCCAAAATCATGAAAGATACAGGGAGAAAACAAATGGGGTCGCATAGTAGGGAAAGAAATCTAAATAAGGATGATGGAGGATTCCACAAAAATGTCAAAAAAAATGTAACCATTTGATCAATTTCATAAAACAGTTGTTGACAAAGTAAGAGTGATGGGCAAAAATTTTGTTTTAATCCATATCATTCATGAGTTTAATCAACACATGCCTAGGATGCAAAAGGGTAACCAAGAATTCACCGCTAAGCTTAAAACTAAAGAAAAATTTTCGAATTGAGTCCATAGCAGGCTTGCAACTAGGAAATTTACCAATCAATGCAAATTCAAAGGGGGCTGCAAAAGCCAGAATCTCATCTTCTGATATCTAAAGCGACAGCTACTCACGATGGGTTGTAGTTTTAATATTAGAAAAAAAAAACCGCCGAAGAGGAAGCACTCGATCAGGCATCTATAAAAGATCTAGAATTTTTTGTCATTTTAAAAGACCTGGATCATTCCGCCAAACATGATTAACTGCCATTCAAACTATATAATAGTCGAAGGTGGAATAATCATGGGAAAAGAAACAAAACCATCCGAGAAAATTACGTAAAAGTAACCAAGAAGGAGATTAAAACAAACATAAAAGATTGAGTCAACTTCTTTAAATGCAGTGTTACAAGTGGAAAGCACCATGAGAAGATCTACTTTGACGAGGGAAGGCGGCTAGGGCCTAGCAGAGTGAGAGGAAAGAATAAAGTCTCTCTCTCTCTCTCTCTCTCTCTCTCTCTCTCTCTCTCTCTCTCCCTCCCCGCCTCTAACTTCAAATATTTTCTCTCACAATGTTTTAAATTATTTCCTTAATTTGAATGGTGTCTTGACTTATGTTAGTTCTTAACTTGAATGGTGTCTTGACTATTGTTGGATCTTAACTAAAATTTCTCTAAGCAAACTTGATCTTGTAATCATGAAATATGTCATAACATGCTAATTCTACAATTGTGCCAAACTAGCATCAAAATTTATTCATTTTATCCATGATAACAAACTTAACATATTGTCGCTTAATTAAAGCGCATAACAAAAAAAATTGCAAATAAATGTTCAAATTCTTTATTAAAATTTGCACTATATATATAAAACCAAAATTTATCAATACCCAAACTACCAACACTTTATATATTTTTATAATAATAATATATTTTTATTTATTATAAATTAATTGTATTATTATTTCATGTGTATCTACTGTTTATGATTATAATAATTCTTATTATTATTTTAATTATAGATGTTTTTTATTATTAGGACTCTATTATCATTATTATATTATTATAATATTACAAATAGTTATTTTTATATTTAATAATTGTTTATTACTGTTTAGTTTATAATATTTTGACTATTTTAAGTTTATTATTATTATTATTATTATCTTAATTATTTGAAAATTATTTTTAAATTTTTTTTTAATATTTTAAAGCTTTGAAAAATCATATCTTTTTCATTTCAAATCAGATTTCGGCGTGCGACCCCTCATTCTTTTTAGAAAAATGTGAATTTTATTTTAAAATTACTTTCAGTATTTGATTTTTACTGTTCTGACAGATTTCTATCTTAGAGCATTATTTGATTATTTAAGTATTATTTAAATAATTATTTTCAAATTAAAAATTATTTTAAACATTTTTCAAAACCTCGATCGGGTGGTCAGTGAATCTCCCCTATAGCTATGTAGATACAAATTGATTTATTTTAAAATATTTTATTTTTCAAAAATCTATATATTTATAAGTATTTTTAAATTACTTTAAAACTATTTATATTTTAAATCCTAATTTTGGGAGATTCGCTTTCATAAAATTTTAAACATAGATTGTATATGTGAAGAACAATCATGGGGGAGTGGATTAGTGAATAGTTGAGTCCCAATCATTTACTAATCCCTTCATTATGTACATTTACTTTTCTTTGTCATAGTTTGCATGTGTAGGATACACCATCATTTAGTTTAGACTCTCCTAGATCTAAGGACATGATGTGTTTACTATTTTTGTGTGTTACCATGCATTTTAAACTCAAGGGTTAGTTCAAAAATTCACTTTAAATCCCTACAACGTAGTGACACCCTAAGGACAATAATTAAGGACCCGTCTAACGAACTTAGAAAATTTTTAGAAGCTAGGGTAGATCCCGGATTGACATGAAAATTTTAACACTTAAACTTTGAGATTGAACATTCCAGAATTTTCTAGGAATTTTTAGGGCTTGTTAGACTCCTTTACTAACCAACCCTAATTTACTTGTTAAGTATGGCCCCAAAACCTTCTAAAAATTACAATAAATACATTTCAACTCAGAAAATTACCTACCATACCTTAAATTGCTTAGAATCTGATCTTTGATCTTAGATAAATAGGGCTCCTTAATTTGACTTTAGGTTGACCCGGCTCCTTAATTTTACTTTAGGTTGACCCTTAATTTAACATTGGGTGAAAATTATATTTTTTCTCCTAATAAATCATTAAAAATCTCAAATTTTTTTCAAACACTTGGGAATAC